CGGACGTAAACCCTGAACAGGTTGTAAGTGGTAGGGATGTCTATGATCTCGTCTTAATGTTCTAGAAATAGTGCACCTGGAAACACCAATAATCCTGGAAATTTTTCTGGTACTCGTCGTGGGATCTCTGTCAAATTCGTGCAAGATTCGCTGATTCCTCCTATTTCTGCCAATATTAACGTTAATTATGTTGCGATCCCTATGGACCAGATTCAATCCGTCATTAGCGAAACGTTGATGAATATTAATAAAAACGTGTGGATGCGGCTGTCTTCTATTAGGAAATCGTCTCCGATATTCCCTAGCAGCTTCTGCCGAGTTCCCATTGGCAAACCCGTATACGAAGTGAATATCTGCGTATTCTTGGTTCGTAAACTTAAACGGCATTTTGAATTTGTTGCAATTTTTTTTAATACTCTACACACAATTAGAAACTATAATAAAATAAGCGCAAATGTCAATATTAGAATGACATTTCAAGTCTGATTTGATTTCTAAACAGTATTTTCGGTTTTTCTTAATTCGATTTCTAAACAGTATTTTCGGTTTTTCTTGAAAACGCCACCTCCTATCGACTTTGGACAAGAGGGTCTTTTCTGGGTAAAATTGAATGCTCTTTCATATTTTTCGAAAACATTTGCAAAATATCAAATCGGCTATACTTTTTTTTATAAAAATATGCATAGAGACCCCTCTATCTCCACCACCGGAACTAATATGCGATGATTTTCTGTGTCAAATTATTTGTCCTCAAATACTAAGTCTTTCGCCGCAACATGATGATTTTTTTTGTCAGCGGTTATTTAGTTAAAAAATAAATAAATAAAACAAAAATAAAATTGAACGCCCTGTATCTCAGAAACTAAGCGTTTTAGGACCCATATATATAGGAACTTTTAGACTCAAAATGAGGTCTTCTACCGATTCCTGAAGTCCTGCTATTTAAATGTGAGACACCCTGTATATGTGGAACCCAGGATTTATCTTGGTGGCGCACAAGAAAACCAAAATAGTCTAAATAGCAGTTTTCAATTAATGGCCTAAATTTCCGACGCTGAGATATAAAAGTTAATTCTCCACACATATAACAAAAACTGTCCGGATTATTAGAACACTTTCGCGGCATATTTACAATGTAACAAACGTAAGTTAGTTAAATGCAATCGTTATACAGTCGCCTAAATTAAGTTATTCAAACAAAAAGACGTAAATGAGGTCAGAAATAAATATATAGCTGTCACAAAAAAAACTGGATGTGACTGAAACAAAATAATAATTATTTTTGAATGAGGGTTCATCAAAATAAATAAAAATCATCACAAAGTTCGTGTGACAAAAACAGTGTTTACCAGTGTAATTGTTAAAAATTTTTGTTGTAAATTTTATTTGAATATTAATTTTTATTTATACCCAAATGCCCTAATTTGCGTGGGTTACGTTTATAAATTAATGTTTAATTTAATATAAAATTTACTAGTTCAGGTAAGTTTTGTAATTTTCCTTCAAATTTTATTGAAACGTTATGGTAACATACATAAAAGGTTTAATGTCATGCAAAAATAATTTTATCAGCTGTTATCAAATAGAGAGTTTGATTTAAATTTAAGGTCGGGACATTAAACGATTCCCCAAATAAACTGATAAGAGTGATAAACAATTTATTGGTTTGATTATAATTATCAGATAATTGTGAACTGCATTGTTTTAGATAAATGAAGGATGACGGCGAAATTCGTTTGTATTACATACCTGTAAACAGTATTATATTTCCGTCTGGTCTTTCATACGCCGCATCAATTTTTTCAACGGTTTTCGGCAGCTGGGGAAACATTTGATAAATGGTTATGGGATAGCCTTTTCCCAGTTTACCTTTCTCTTTGTACCTCCAAATGTACTAAAAATATTGTTCAAATATGTATAAAGTTTAAAAAATTCTCGTTCAGTCAAAATAAATTTTAAATACTTAAAACTATACATAATATTACTATACATAATATTGTACAGAGTGAGTTAAATTTTATGGGATTTCAGGATTTCTCAAAAAACTGCAAAAGATAACAACTGATGACAAGTTCTCGACGAGATCTGGCAAATAATATATTTCCTGTCAAAATTTATTTTAGCGTAATAGGGTAATATTCATTTTATTTAATTATTATTAAAGTGAAAACTGCTCTATATGAAGTTCTCGCACGTCGATTGGTGTTGCAATGTATTTTTTCGTGATTATGGCACTACGCAGCTATTTTATATTTTTTAAACTTTAATTGATCATTACTTATTTATACAGGATGTAAATAAATAACTGCGAAAAAATTCAGGGGGTGATTTGTTGTGGAAAAATAAGGTGGGTCTTTCATATAAAAAAATCTCATTTGTACATTTTCTATGCAAATAAAATCTCTTAAAGGGAGTGCCAAAAAAGTAGAGTAGTTTTTTTTGTAAATAAAAAAGTGGCAGAAATTAATTTTAGTAGACATTTTCTGTTATCGAGAACGCACTCAGTAAATAATTTGTTGATTTTTCCTCACTATTGTAAGGGGTAGAAAAGCCACCCCCTAGGGCTTGTTTTATGCAAAAATTTTTCTTATTACTACCACCATTTAAAAATGTATTAACAAATAAAAATTCAGATACATTCTTACATTCTAAACAAAAAAGGTCTCTTGTTAATTTTTTCGTAAAATTTAGGATTTCTGAGAAAAAAATATTTAAAATCAATTACACGGGATGGTTGATATGGGATAGAAATTTTATCTAACTATAATTTACCTAGTAGGCGGCTATAACGTTGACATATTAAGGAATTGCCGTTAGCAAGACTGTAAACGAAATGTGTATCGGTCATTTATACATTAGAGTACACCTCCATCGTGATGAATTTGCTTAAAATGATCGGAGTGTATCGGTAAATAATAATAGCTGTAACCTTACTAACAACAATTAAGTCTGTTTATGTTCATTTCTATCACTTCTTTGGTATTTCAGAAAAAAATTAAAAACTACTTTTTTGCCTCCCTCTTTAAGCGGTTGTATCTTCACAGTTAGATTTTTTATACCTATGGAAGATCTACTTTATTTTTCCACAGGGAATCACCCTCTGATTTTTTTTGTACTTATTTATTTACACTCTGTATATAAAACATATTTTCTATATTTGCAGAAATATTATAGAAGGTGTCCGGAAAAGAATGGGACATACTTCTAGTTTTTATGAAAATTAACGTAATGACTTTTGAAATGCCACTTTATTCTTTAAAAAAGATGTACTTGTTGCAATTCGCTAAAATGCACTGTTCCAGAGAAAACTTTTTTTGTAATCCGTAGTCTTTAGTTATCACCAGCCGAGTAGTTGGGGGTATCTAATACAAGTAAACTTGACTTTTTTTTACTACATTCGCAGTTAAATTAAATATTATTTATACTTTTTAATGTAATACTGCAAAATTATAGTAAATTTACGGACCTATATATGATACCAGTAGTTATCTATCTATTGACATTTAAATTAGGGTAAATTGGTCTAATCAAAAGTCATCTACGTTTTCTCAAACTTTCTATAAACAAATAAAAAATATGGTAAAAAACCAAGACAGTTTAAGGTTTTCTTAGCGATTTCTATACTGTAGGTAAAACATAAGATCATATTCCAATAAGACAAAGGTTTCTTAGAAAAACGAAATTAAAAAAAAAATCATTAAAGGCTCGTAACATCTTAAAGAAGCAAAGTTATACAAAGGTAAATTGATCCAAATCGGTTTATTTCCACCCAAGGAAGCTTTGATCTATGGTCCATTCGTTTCTGGACACCCTGTATATTATTTAGAAGCACCCCAAAATATTATATACAATTCCGATTCCCATTTAGTAGTTACGTACTCCACAATTTTTTTTATCTACGGTAGAATCGGAATGACTTAGAGAATCGAAAATAGCATATTCATTGAATTTTATGACAATAAATTAGCTATATCAAACAAATGAGGCTTCTTAATCAAGTTCTTAGCACATAATTTTTTTCTGTATTAATTATTTTTTTATAATTTTCATATCTAATCTTAATCACGTTTATTTGCTCATCTTTCGTTTACACTATCTATATTATTTAAAGGTAGTGTATAGTGTTACAAATTCACTTCTCACTACAGGGATCTCGGATACGGTAAGAGGTACGAAGTAGCTTAAATGGGGGCAAAGTTGCGTAATCAGGGGACCAACATTATACCTCTATAAAATCAAGGCTAACATGATTAGTTTTCGAAATATTTGAAAAAAACTGAAATTTTGTAAATCCGTTTTTGTTTAATTTCAGCCTTGTTTGAGGTGATATTGAAAAAAGAAGAACACTTTCTCATGGTCACTTTTGGCCCTCTATCGAATGGCGTAATCAATTTTTATATGTAACGTTTCGTCTCTCCAGGATCATCATCATCTTAATTATTTTAAATACGACCCTAGAAATCTTATTACATTTTTGCAAGTCTTCATAACCCCCAATGCTGTTCTGCCTCAGCCAGAACCAGGTTCAGACGTTTTGTATCAAAAATTTATCTTCAGTGTATTCGTTCCAAATTTATCTAAATTTTTTATTTAGATTTCTTTGTTTATTGAATTATCGTACACTGTAAGTGTCGTTACACCCTGTGAAATCCATCTAGTTATTTAAACTATTACCACCACGCATTAAAATAAAACATTGGAATTTTATTCCCGTGTCCATAGTTATTTTTGAGTCAAAACGTCTGAATCTGGTTCGGGCTGAGGCAGCACAGTATTTGGGGTCATAAAGGCTTGCAAAATATGTAATAAAATTTCTAGGGTTGATTATGCCATTCGATATAGGGCAAAAAGTGGCCATGAAAAAGTGTTCTTCATTTCACCTCAAACAAGGCTGAAATGAAACAAAAACGGATTTCCAAAATTTCGGTTTTTTCAAATATTTCGAAAACTAATAATGTTAGCCTTGATTTTTTAGAGGCATAATGTTGGTCCCCTGATTACGCAACTTTACCCCCATTTAAGCTACTTCGTACCTCTTACCGTTTCCGCGATCCCTGTAGTGAGAAGCGAATTTGTAATAGCCTGTATATTGATTACCCTAATTGATTTTAGAGGCATTTAAGTAATAAAAAAATATGTGCAAGACAATAGTACAGAAAAGATAATTGATGTCAAACATATTGTCACCATTAATAAGAATAGAAAATCTGCACTATTCGTAGCGAACACTATTCCTTACCTTATCTCTTCATTAGTAATCTAATAATCTGAATATAATTAATAATATGCTATTAATGTCGTATGTCGCATTGTACTCCTTTATTAGGGATTAAATGAAGCTCTGTAATATCGACAGAGTTATAATAAGATGAGTTTCGCGCAACACCAAAACTTTTGTACTACTCACCTGTTGTTTAAATACAAAAAGTTCATTACGCAAAGTAGCAACAGCTTCCACATAACCGTCGCATATATTTGGTAAACTTGGCGAATTACTGTTTGGCACTGTATGTTTCCCATCATGTTTAAGATGGTCGTCGACGGTTTCGTCGTCCCCTTCATATGTAACAGAAGTGCTTGTTCCAGTTATTGGATGAGTTTCCGTACTATAACGCTCAGTAGTTGTCGTTACTGGGTGCATTCTAGTTCTAACCGTTTGGTCTGTTGTAGATTGTCTGTACCAATCATCTGTTACTCCGGAGGATCTGGCAGTGGAAGTGGCTGAAGTCGTTGTTTCATATCCTCTGTCAACATGGGGAAGCTGCTTATCTTCATCTAACACCCTCGTAACTAAAATACAGTTGTTAGTGATATTCTTATAAGTAGTTAGTATAGTACATATTTAACTAATGTGCTATTGAGTAATGCAAATGTTTTTTAATGTGAATTATAAGCTAACGGAAACATGAATAATACGAATCTTTGAAATGAATAATGAATTTTGGTCTATTATCGATAGTTGTTTAAATTTATCAAGTAAATCTAGTAAATTATTTCTCGTTAACAGTCCACAGAGTATTAAACTTAAAAAATAAAAAATTGGCAATATCTGGAAAATTAGTTCACCAATCGTGCTGAAAATTTCAGTGCCTATACTTTCTGGAGACAAAATTTGAAAAATAATATTCATTTTATGCTCATTGATAGAGGGCGCTAGTTACACTTTACTGGTGAAGATCTACATTTTTTTGACGAGTCAGCAAAAAAACAATAAAATTTAGTCAGCAAAAAATAATAAAATCTTATTTTGAGAAAAAATTATATACTAGCTGAACGTAATTGTTTTCAGTAGAAAAAAGATTGTTTGTGTCATAATTCGTTAAATCTAATTGACCATATTTCCTTTTTGTTTTAAACAATGTTATTTAAATTTTGGTATATTTTAATACTTAAACGCATAGTGAAATACAGAATTTTAAAAACATACAATAAACCACTATCTGACCGCTTAATTATGCAATTGGAAACACATGATTAATTTAAAATACAATAATAAATTCAGCCCATTACTATATTTATAGTAACCAATTCCGTATTGATATAAAGGAGGATACTTGTTGTGTTTTTCTGTGCTAAATCTTCGTTGTATTTTTAAAATAATTTTTATTAACTCCCTCACACTGAAAGTTAGCTAGTTTTATTTTGTTTATAATTTTCTTCCAGAACATGCCAAGTTCCTCAAGTTAATATGAATGTACTTACTATACAAATTGTACATTCCAAGTATATCATCGTAGTCCAATTGGTACGGTGAATTTGGGTCATATTCTTTGTAGTAGGGAAACATTACTGCACTTGAAACTGGGGAGTGAGCAAGACCCAAAGAATGTCCAAGTTCATGCAGGGCAACAGCATGAAAGTCTGTCCCGTCTTCAGAATCTTTGTCCGTTCTGTCCACCCATTTTTCATCTGCGTCAAAATGAATATCTCCACTTTTATCATACTGTTTAAGAGGAAAAAATGCGTGAGCTAGTACGTATCCCTGGCCATCAAATGGAAATCTGAAAAAATTTTGTTTAAACAATTTCCGAGGTGTTTGTCACAAACGCAGGGCACTCAACAGTTTTAACCAATACTTTGATCAAGATAAGTAATAGAAAACCAACGACATTTGAATCCAGACGATGACTTAAAACTATTTGGAAATTGGAAACTCATAGGTAAAACTCAAGGACTGGGACGCCACAGGTCAGTGATTTCCAACCATGCACCGGACGCGATAGCCAATTGTTTTTTATATAAGTTATTGCCGGATATCTATAATTACTAATAAAATAAATAAAAAGAAAATACTGTCATTCTTATATGTGTTATTCCTTGTTGACTAATTTTCTATAACGTTAAGGGAAATTAGAAACTAAGGAAATACGATAGAGTAACTTCACCATTTTTTCTGAAAACTTACATGTTAGATTTACATTTTTAATTTTGATAAATACTTTAAATAACGTACTCTTGTCGATATGTCAACATTTATGTGAATGAAATAGGTACACCTATTAATGTTTATAGTTTATTTTGCTTTCTTTAGGTCCAATTTCTATAAAACTGTTTGCAATGTCAATAACTAGAGGAACCCTTTTGTCGTGTATATTTAATAATGACCATTGTTATTAGTGATGCAAAGTAAGACAGTTCTTTTTGTATTGTATTTTTGTTTAATTAAAATCACAGTAGCCCATCACTGATTAGAGATGTCATTATTCAGTTTAGCTGGTTTTAATTATTCTGAGCAAAATATACAGCGTGGTAAAAAAGTTCTGCATAAAATTCATATTTTCGTTAAACAATTTTTTTTTCGAAAAACGGTGAGACCCGTCGATTTTTATTTGATCCAGGGCACCTTGTTATGAGGAAAAATTTTGTTTTCGATAATTCACTTACGGCAGCGATGACATATTTTTTTTTAATGACAACGCATATTTTTTTCGTTCGAAATTGATGACAGTGATAATTATCTAAACAACGGTGTGAAAATTTCGATGTCTTACATAACAATTTTTTTTAGAAAAATGCACCTTAAGTTCTTGAATGCAATAATTTGCTGTTTACGGATCAAATGCCTTAGAAAAAAATTTATTCGGCAGAAAGCATTTCAGATAACTTAAGTTGCAACTGGTGTTATGTAATATTTGCGGAATTATTCATCAGATATTGTCAGGATCCTGATTAAACTGCAAAATTTAGAACCAAGTTCAACCGCACAAAATCCAAATAGTATGTAGCAAATTAAGGTCGACTTTTTGTCTTCGAGTTTGCCGATAAATTCCTCAAAAAAAAAAGATCCAAAGAAATGTTTACTTGAAAGGAGTAGATTACCTGAAATATTGAAGACTAAAAATCAGTACCGATTTAACATTCTTTGGTGAAATCGTTTAATTCGAAATGGCAAAACTTAGTGAACGCGAAAGAATTGATATTTTGAGGATGATTGGTTTCGGCGATAAGTTACGAACCCATCAAGAAGCTTGCCAATTATTTAATGCAACGTACCCTGACAGACCACCAATTACGCAATCTACGGTTAGTAGGGTACTGGCAAGGTTTGAGGAAACTGGTAGTGTGAAAGATGCTCCTCGTGCGGGTCGTCCTAGAGTAGATGATGAAACTAGATTGAATATCCTGGTGGAGCTCCAGGACAACCCTCATTCTAGTACAAGGTCGATTGCATTGAACAATGATATTTCACATGTAACTGTGGTGAACTTTCTCAAAAAAGAGAAATTTCACCCCTATAAGGGTCACTTGATACATGCATTGACTGAGGACGACCCAGACCGCCGTCTCCACTTTTGTGAAGATTTAATGCATCGATGTAACGGAGACCCCGACTTCCTCAAGAACATAATTTTTTCTGACGAGGCTACTTTTTATCTTAATGGATCGGTGCATCGACATAACTGCCGGTATTGGTCTCAGGAAAACCCGCACTGGGTGCAAGAAGTAGATCATCAGCACCCCCGAAAGGTGAACGTTTGGGCGGGAATAATAGGGCGTCGTATTTTAGGCCCGTATTTTTTCGAGGAAAATTTAACTGCTGCTCGCTATTTGGATTTCCTGCGGTTCGATTTGGTCCCAAGCTTAGCAGAGTTATTCCCGAACAACGAGGATCCTGATATTCCTGAGGAAAGAATTTGGTTTCAGCAGGATGGTGCACCGCCCCATTATGGAGTGCAAGTACGGGAGTACTTGAATAACACGTTTACTGGCCGGTGGATCGGGCGACGCGGAACAATCGAGTGGCCTCCGCGTTCGCCTGATTTAACACCTCTAGACTTTTTTTTGTGGGGCTATTTGAAATCGCGTGTGTACACAAACAGACCAGGTGATTTGGAAGAACTTAAAAACCGTATTCGTTTTGAAATAAATCAAATCGACCCGGGAATGCTTGAACGAAGTGTAGACGGCGTTTACACACGCTTAGGACAATGCCAAATGGTACAGGGTGGGCAATTCGAACAATTTCGCTAGACTTACACAAACATTAGTGTAATTTTACTCGTTTGAAATGTAATTTTGTCAACTTTGTCCTTTTCGAAGTCATTAATAGTGTAAGTAGACAATTATCACTTATAAGAACTTAAGGTGCATTTTTCTAAATAAAATTGTTATGTAAGACATCAAAATTTTCACACCGTTGTTTAGATAATTATCACTGTCATTAATTTCGAACGAAAAATATATGCGTTGTCATTTAAAAAAAAAATTATGTCATCGCTGCCGTAAGTGGATTATCGAAAAAAAATTTTTCCACATAACAAGGTGCCCTGGTTCAAATAAAACTCGACAGTTTTAACGAACGAACCGATATATTAGATCAAAGATTTTGTGAAGAACATTTTTGTAGAAGTGTGTGCCTGTATCATGAAAAATATTCAAATCGTCTAATACCAAATTATCAAACGTTTAGAGATATTAAAAGACGTTTTCGAGAAGCTGGTTACTTTAAAATTAACAAAGGTAATGCCGGACGTTTTCATCAAGCTCGAACAGCTATTGTGGAAGAAATTCTGGAAACGGTGAAAGAGAACAATCAGTGTCAGATTAATACAGATTCATACTATAACGTCCAAAAATACAGTGAGCAGAGTAATCCCCGAACAACTATTTCGTCCTTTTCATGTTCAACCAGTTCAATAACTTCGCTCATCTTCAATTCTTATAAATTATTCGCCAATACAGAGTTAGCGATATGACCTTTCACAAGAAAGTTCTTTTTACGGATATAACCAATTTTAAGAAACGGGACAATAAATCTCCATAACCAGCATACATACGTAGATGCAAATCCCAAACCCTTCATGTTTATGAGAAAAATAAATAAATAAAATAATAGAAGCTATAACACGACCCTCGGCAAAATTATGAGCAATTTAGTTCAACGGAGGGTTTTTTACAGCAGTGTTAATATAATAATTTCCTTTATTGTATCTAAAGTGACATATAACACAAATAAGAAGTGGAAGGGCGAAATGGGCGGTGACTATTAGACGCCTTCATTATAGCCATCTTTCTCTATCGCACGGATTTCTATGACTTACTTTATCGCTCTCACGTAACGGCCGATGAGCCATGGGGACTTTCCGACCTTGTATATGGAAGTACTAGTGTATAAAATTTCAATAAAATCTTACAAGGTGTTTCAAAAAAACAATTTTTATTTTGTCAACCTTGATGCCTTCTAGTGGTTAAATGAAGGTAGAGGTTAAGGTAGAGGTAAGCAAGTTTAGTTAAATATGCTTATATTGATTTCAGGAAACTGTGGTACCTCCATGTTTACAGATTATTGGTACACCGTGTAAATTCTCTAAATATGTTATTATTTTATAAAAATTGTTTTGGTACTGTTTTATTTTCATGTCATGTGTTTTAACTATTATTTATAATACAAAGTAACATTTTACGTTCAGAAAATTATTTCCTTTGCTACAATTTTACACTTACTCATCACCGTGGTCACCTGCTCCAAATAAAACCACTATATCTGCATCCTGAGTAGGTGCTCGTTGAAAATTCAGTCTTGCATAAGCACCCCATGTGTCTAAAGCTTGTTGAATAGTCTTTACGACTTTGTATTCTCCCAGTCTAGGTGGCCAATTTGATATGCTGAAACAGATGTTGATATTTGAGTGGAGAAGAACAAAGTAAAATTATTTTAATTGATTTGATGGTGTAGGCTGACTTCATAAGCTAGTGTATATTTTGTCACATTAACTGAAGTAATGCGGCCATAATATATAACTATGATTCAATGTTTTAGGGAATAACTAAAAGAGGGAGTAACAGAAAAATATGTAGAAAATGTTAAAAATTATTATAAAAAATCTCGTTCACATCATTATATCTATTTCAGGAATTTTGCTGAAGAAGAATATTTTGTGGCAAAATGAATAATTTGTTGTTAAACCACTCTTCAATAAGATTTTACTCAGATATAAATTAAAATTGTAACATATAAAATGATGGTCAGGTTATAAATCTAAATTCATCATGTAGGTGTAATATCAAATCATGTAACTAAAAACATAGGCAGTATTTCTCATAAAAATACGATTTATCAGTGAAAATCGTATTTTTATGGGAATAGTTAATAATTTTGTTATCTTATGCGGCACCTTTCATCTAAAATGTGATATAAACTCGAGATTGAAAACGTGACTATCGCATGCATTAAATTCCTCGATCTCTAGTTTATTAGGTACGTCATTTTCTCTTGAAGTTATGCTAAGCGAAACTTTACCTATTAAATGACCTTACGCTGTTGTATATTATATGTTTTGAGTTTATTTAGTTAGTATAATTAGTTCTCAATTTAATTGGTTGGTTTATTTATTGTAATTGTTTCATTATTATTACATAGTTGCATTATTATGGCTGCTGATTTCATTTTTCTTTAATTTATAGGCTATATAGCTATATTTGGTTTAAGAAATGAAGAGATTTGTTGTTTGTGAATTTATTAAAGTTTTAAAACCAATTAATGATCTCATATGCAATTATCACTGCAGACTGGTATGATTTAAAGTAGCAGAAAAAAATAACACAAAGACTTTAAATAAATCAAAATTTTATAATAGGTATCACAATAGTTATATAAATCATTTTTATGTGAAGATTGGTGGACTATAAATTTTCATATACCTAAAAAAGCCACTAAATAAATAAATAGTAATAAAAATAATAAATACATAATACCTACTAAAATCTACTATCATTTCTAAATGATATTTCATTTAAACCTGAATATTTTTATAAGGTAAACATTAAAAAAAATGTTAACTGTCGGTATTTTATACAATATGCACGTGAGCAGTTATTTTGTTTGAAACAGTAATTTATTTCCTTCATGTTGGCTACTAAATTTCGGTAAAATTAAAAAGTATTAAAACAATAAGATTACATTAAAACACAACATTCTGTTGCACCAGCTGTGATTCGTGTAATTTTTCACGAGATTCTATTCAACTATTCAGATATCGCATTATTTCGAGCGTAGATGTAACAGTTTGGCATTGTTCATTGCAAACGAATCATTAATATTGGTGATGTCAAGATTTAGGAAATTTTTGTCACCAATACCAGCTCTGTAGTGTTGGTTGTCTAAACTCGACGGGTCACGTGGCTTGTAAACATTTATGACGGCTCTCTAGTTTTGGAAAACAAAGGACGGAGAATAAAGGTGCAAATGATAATAGTCTGGTCGACTGGTGTGTTGGGTTGGATCCGTTAGAATGGAGGAAAATTTTTGAGATGTTTTTTATTTTCATATTTCATTCTTTGAGTGGAGCACTTTCTTCAAATTGCTTCAATGTGACAGGTGGAAGTCAACCTTGATTCTTGTTTTTCCTTTCAGATATAAAATTCTAGGCACCTACAAGAAACAAAATTTACTTACTAATACGTTATATTGCGATGTTCCCATCCATTTGAACCCAAAGCATATCGTTTTCTGCGGTTGTTGTGTCTTATAACGTCTGGTACTCCACAACGCCGCGAAGACATTAACTACGAAAAAATTCAGGTTATAGGTTTTTATTTTTGAAAATTATAATTTGAGATATAATAAAACATACTTAAACTTTATTTATTTTAATTAAAAAACACTTCGATATTCGAATAAAATGCGGTTTAAAATTACATAGGCTGCGATAGCAACTTTGACATTCCGAGCAGTTAGAATGTTATTCATCAGGTTCAAGCAACAATAAATTTCGAATAATTTACATTTTCGTTACTAAAATGATGTCGCGCCTGTGTTCGTGGACATGGAGGTATTTTTGAGCATTTACTCAAATAAAATCATTAAAATGATGACTAATGTTATTTACTTCTTTATTAGAATAAATAACTGAACGATTATTTGTCATGTCATTTAATGATTTCAGTTGGTTTTTTAAGTTTTACTCGAAAATCAGGTTTATTTCGAAGTAACAGTAAGAGAGTAGTAATTTGTAGAAAACTTAAAAACGAATCCGAAAATATCATGATTGTTACCGTAAAGCGTACTATTTTATTTAGAAAAATATGCCACCGATACCCTGTATCTCTGCCACTGGAACATCTAAATTTTAGGATTTTGGACAATGTTTACATAAATACCTGTGCTCAATTTCAAATTATTTCACTTATTAGTTTTTAAATTATTAAAAAAAAATTAAAAACATTTTGTATCTTTTTAACGAAGCGTCCTAGATAAAAACTTTATACAGGGTTTTAGAAGTTTGATTACCTTAATTTTAACAGACGATAGAATACATTAAAATAAACAAAAAAACCTTATATGACATAACTAAACTCAAAAAAAAATTACCAAAATCTCCAACAAATGTACACAAATTTGATTAATTAAGGAATATTGACATAACTACGTGCATAGAATACTTATAATTTTTTTTTTAACTTCTTTATGCTTAATTCTAAAAAAATAATTAACGTTGTAATAAATTTAAAATTCGATAAAATTCATATCGAACATTGTGACAACGGCGCGGCGGTTTATTAACAGCAACAACCAATATGCAATTCAGTTGGTATCTGGATTCGACCGTGTTGGAGTGTTTTTTTGCGTACTACTATTTCCTTTTTTGAGGTGTTTTCCAGCGAGTGCGCGAAAATTGAATGCGAAGGTGTCATGCATACATCCAAAATGGTGATGGACATTTTGAGCGTATGTTGTTGATTGTTTTGTACTCGTGCGTATAAAAATTACTGAATTTTGCTTTTTGGTAAGTAAGTACCTAAATTATGTTTAGTACGTATGATTATTTGGACGACGTGAATCTTTGGGTACTTTAATTACATATTTTTCAAATACGTAATTTTATTAAAAGTTAAGAGATTCATAACTGCTAAAAGTCGAGCTAAAATTTAAGCACAACGCTATCTTCGTACTACAAAATCGATACATTTTATTTTATTTATTTAAAAACTGGAAACCAACTGTCTTAAAATTTACGTTAAGTACTTCACAATAATTGTTGTTCATATTTTTTCAGTAGAACAAGTCTGCCGCGTGTACACGTGCTGTGCATTAACAGGTTAAGCGCTGTTGTCACGTTGTGATGAAAGCCCGCATACTCTGTATTTTGAAACTTGTTAATAATACGCCCCTGTGTTATACAACTTTTTTGTTCATTTATGATTACTCTATCTCATGCTGAAGTAATTTGAAAATTGTAAAATATAATTTTCTGTTCTATTATTACAAAATTCTCATAATTCAGCTGTATTAAGACAGGAAGTAATATTTCCGGAAATTAATCTATTTGCGGTAGGTAAGTGTATTATTTTGATAGGCTGAAATTAACTGTGTGCTGTACTTCTGGAAGGAATAAGTAGTAACGGTGCAGTACAATGTTTAATGACGGGCTGCAATTAATAATCAAGTTTTGTCGCCGACTTGGCCTTAAAAATTGATTTTTTTAAGTCTCAACCTTTGTAGCGCAAACATATTAATATTAATAAAGCATAACAGTGCGCAACTAGTAAATACCTACTTAGACACATACTGAATAACGAAAACGTGGAAACTGGCGAAAATATTTCCCTTTTTTATAAGATAAAGTGATGATAAGAAATTAGATAGGTACTATTTTATTCAATTTAAGATAGACGTTATTCATTAGGATGACATTCTGAGCTTCTACTAAATTTATCATACCTTTAAAGTTGCATTGTCGATTTTTCCAGTTTCTTCTATTGCTCCATATCTTTGCACAGTTTTTATTATCTCTGAAATTCCATTTTCTGTATACAGTGCTTCGGCAGGTCCATCATCTTTCTCTATGTAACCATATTGTCTCATAAAATCTAACTGAAATTAATTAAAAGTGTAGAATTAAAATAAAAGAAATTACTCTAATTATTGGCAACTTTTTTTACGATAGAATGTTTGGTTTATATGAAAATAATGCGGAAAGCTTTTATTTCACTGAAAGAAAAATGGTTTTAATTGCAATGAATTTGTGTTTTATCCTGGACATGGATTGTGGATCAACGAAGCGAAATTTATTACAGTTTAAATACTACAATTTATGCGATACTTAAATTATTATTCACCGGGATTACCCTTGGAAATTATTGCCTAGTCATCGTTCTCTTAGAATTATTTGAATTCAAGATTAATATATTTAGATACTAATTTAATTGACGTATTATGCTCATAATAAATAAATTGGTATGATTATTATAATTTGCGAATTCAAGATTTAGTTTGTATTTTGCTTTAATATTTTTAAAACTGATGACCCTGTTTACATATTCTCCATTCTCATAGGGCTGTTGTAGGTGTTTATTTACTTTGAAAATATCTCATAATTTTTATATAATTTATTTAAGGTTAAGGTTAAGTTAACTTTTATTTTAAGATTATATTCATTTAATAAGTGGGATTGAATGAAGTGTAAAAAGAATCAAGGTGCATTGCTCACAGCGAACAAAATTAGCCTTGGTAGTTAGACGTCATGACATCAATAATATAGATTAGTGTTAGTAAACTGTTAAGGGATGGTATAATTTCAGATATTAGTGTAATGAAAATTTTTAATTTTAATAAACGACTTAGTAAAAGTATCTTACCACTTTAGGCGACGGCAGTGTAGTACGCTTTGTTTTGGGAACTGGAGCACAGTCTATGCTTACACTAAATAAGTAACAAATCAAGGAAAACTGCAACAAAATCATAACGGCTCGTAATTAAACGTTCGTTTAAACTAAATTCAAACTACTTGACCCACTTTTCGTAACGGTGAATGGTATTAACATATATTCAGTTCAAACTTGAATGAGTATTGTTACGCATTTTTTCGATTTCGAACGCGAGTGGACAAGGAAAAGTAACGCCGGCTTTGTTATATCTAACAGGCAGAGATGAATAACCATTAAATTGTTGCCTAAGGCTGAGGTTTTTTCATTACTAATCTTGATGTTGATGACACTTGATCTTCTTGAGAAAGACCACATCCTATAATTAAATTTATTACAGTTATTACTTCCTAATGGAAATACCGACAAATTTTGTTGAAATATTTGGGCGCTAAAATATATTTTAAATAGACTTGTGACGTCTTTTCGATTTATTTGTTAGATTTAGATATTGTGTTGATAATTCAAAGGATAAACCAAACATGTGTAACAACGCAATTGTTTATTTTATTAACCAAAACAATGAGTCTATGATGTGCATTGTTTGTTTATGGATTATAATTTCGAGGTATGACAAATATACTCTTGGACCAAACTATTGTACCACTAATGAGTAATAATTTTTAGTTTGTCTTTCTCCTTCTTTCTGGTTATTTTATGTTGGCCTATTTCTGCTACTTCAACCCCCACTTTGTCATAGGGTAGGGATCTTTTAATTCCCTTACATTGCTGAGACAATGAACCAGAAGTTTTACCCCTTTTTCCGAGGGATAATAATAATGACGTATTCGATAAGAAAATGCAACAAAAACTTATAAGAAAAGAGAGAAAAATTCATCTTAAATTTTTGTATAAGTGATTTTAAATACAGTTCAGTCGTTAATTAACCAGGAATTTTAACTTTTTTGGAGTTAAAAGGAGATATTTGCGCCGCCAATTTCTTTCTACTTCGGATGTGGAATGCAGTTAATTCCAAGAAAGTGACACAGGGGTCTTCTTGGAATTCCATCTCAACAAATATCGTATGGACTATAGAGTCGGTATTGAATTAAATGCACAATATACTTGTATAGTAAACAGCTAAAGTCATTCCTCGGTCGTCTCACCCAATTCGAAACAGAATTTGTATAGTAATTATGCAGATGAATGATCTTAATTGCTTATTAGATACTGCGCTGCTGGCTTCATTGCCGGTATAACCTGAGCTACGCAACTAGGTAATAGTTCTGATCTCAAGAAGAAAAAAAACTAGGCAGCCTTTTTTACTCTACACACTCAGTCCGACGAAATGCTCTTTTGTGCTGTGAAATGGCGTCATTAAAGAAAAAATTGACAGTGATTTTAATTTTAAATTGAAAGAAAAAATATTTTTTTATTTTAAAAATTACCTGCTGATACATTATGAAAAATGATATTTTGTCTTTTCAATACTCTACAGTTCTAAGAGTCCTCGAATCCGAGTACCATCACACTATAGGTCGACATTGTTGACTGGGAAGAAGACCTAGAAGTAAGTTATCGTTGCTAAAGCACGTCTAAGTAACACGTTGCGGACCCTCCACGTATACTACCTGCCAACTAAGGACAGGATTCGTGTAAAATAAGCAGCAACAACAATAGCTACAATATCAACACCACCAGCAGCAGAAACAGCAACAGCAGCACCGACAATAGCAACAACAACAATAACAACAGCATTGACGATAACAACAATAACAATGGCATTACAACAATAACAACAACAACACCAACAACACAGCAACATCAGCAGTAACAAGAGCAGCAGTAGCAACAACAACAAGGACAAAAAAGTAACATCATCGTCAATAACAACAGTAACAGCAGGAATAGCAACTGCGACTACAGCAGCAGCAACAACAGCAGTAGTTCTAGCAATAACCATAGCAACAAGAGCAGCAGTACCGACAACAGCAACAGCGACAACAACAACAGCAACGGCAGCAACAGCAACAAGAACAGCAACAACAAAAATAACAACAACTGCAACAGCAACAAGAACATTAACAGCGGCAGCAGCACCGACAGCAACAGCAACGACAATAGAAGCAGTAGGAATAATATCAGCAGCTATAATAACAGCAAAAGCAACAGCAGTAGTTACAATAACAGGAGCTGCAACAGCAGCAACAACAACAACAGTAGCAGCAACAACAGCAACAACAACAGCAGTACCGACAACAGCAACTGCGACAACGACAATAGCAACGGCAGCAGCAACAACAAGAACAACAACAACAAAAAGAACAATAACTGCAGCAGCAACAAGAACATTAACAGTAGCAGCAGCACCGACGGCAACAGCAATGACAATAAAAGCTGTGGGAATAATATCAGCATTGATAATAACAACAGCAACAGCAGTAGCTACAACAACTAGCACTTTCCGTGCACCTAACCCCCTACACTATAGGTCCCATAACGACTCGCACTTGTGATAGAAAATAGTATGTGCAACTCGTTCAACTGCGTTTCAACTGCGTCCGCGTGGCGCTATTGGCAACTTTTCCCCACTCGTTACACAATGTACTATTCTTCATCATCTATGAGTCTTGAGCACATTGTCCCATTATACAATACAGTTCCCGTCGTGTCCTGTGGTTTGCATACTGCAGTATCGCAGATCGTTCTGGAGGGATCAATTCCTTAGTTGTGCAGAATAGCATGTTAAAACAATAATGGAGAATTCTAATGGCTATGGAAAGGTATATCTTGCCTTAAAATGTTTCAGAATGTCTTTATGTGTAAATGAGTCTTTAAAGTCAAAGCGCGATTCTATTGACTCGGAAGTCGCTTAGATGTGAAAGAATGATGGCAAAGCAACATAGAGCAATTTTTTATATATTATCAGTTCCAAAATGTAGAAACAAGAAGCAACATATATAAACATTTTGTTTCCACCATGGCAACAAAAAAGCAGCTGATCGCTGTTGACCGAATAAATGAAACAAAGTGTATCCACCAGGAAATCAAGGTACTCTCGTAGTGCAGTTCGAACTTAACTATTTTTTTCATGTCATCCAAAGAAGAAAATATTGCGCTAACAGCAGCAGCTTACATTATTTATATCAAAATGTGACACCAATTACAGAGCTTCAATATCAGTAGTTGAGCATTTACTTGTCACACTACGATTTCCTTCGAATCTTACTTCCCCTTAATTAGCTCCAGTAACATCGCTCCATCGTCCTTTGTATTTCTGCGTTTATAATTTTGATCCAAAGACACTCTAAATTTCGAATGTTTCAATTAATAATATTAATAAGTCATTAGTCCACTTGAATTCCGCGTATGCACCAAAGCAACATAGAACAGCTTTTGTGTTTCTGTCGCGTGTTTACCAAAATGTTGCAGTAAGTTTCAATGTGTTGCACATTGTTGCCGCGAAAAAACTAAAAAGTTGCTCTATGTTGCGTGTTTCTGTTGGAAGCGGCAAACATTAAAGAAAAAGTGGTAAAATGAGTCGACAAGTTTCAGTTGTGACGTCGGTGGACACGGGCGGCTGTCGCTGTTTGCTGTAGTTTCTGATTGAACATATCCGGATGCAGATCTTTTTTGTGCTTTGTACTTTCTTCATTTATAATTAAAAAAAGTTATTATGGCGGAATTTAAGTGGACTAATGACTTATTAACATTATTAATTGAAACATACCGAAATTTAGAGTGTCTTTGGAACCCAAAAGATCAAAATGTAAATGCAAGATGCATGATGCGTCTAATTTGTGTGATGTTTCTGGAGCTAATGAAATGAAAGTAAAGAGAAAAAGAAAAAATTTGGTTGGTCAGTTTTTTAGAGAAAGAAATAGTATGGAAGTTAGCTGCTGCTAGTGTAATATTTTGTTCTTCGGATGACAAAAAAAATAGTTATGTCCGAACTGCATTGCGAGAGAAACCTGGATTTAGTAGTAGATACACTTTGTTTAATTTACTCGGTCAACAGCGACCTACTAAAACTTTTTTGTTTTTTTTTTGTTGCCTTGGTGGAGACGAAATGTTTATATATGTTTCTTGTTTCTACATTTTGGAACTGACAGCAACATACAGAAACAAAAAAGTTGCTCTATGTTACTTTGGCGGATACGCATCTTTCTGATACTGTTGCTCTTAATGCGGAAGCCTATATGGACAATGAAGTATCTAGCCTCATCGGGATGATCAGTTTTAAGAGGTAGGGCGATATTATGGAAGTCACCTACCTTTTTAGGTATTTATTAGATTATTGATTCTTAAAGAAATTAAAGATCTATCTAAATGTGGAAACTTTTATTTATTGAAAACACCTCGTCGTTTTCATATAATGCAAAATAAACATAGAAAGTAAAGAAATTTTTTTGAAGAAAGAAACTATACATACAAACTTATCCTTCTTCATAAATAAGATATGTAAGACTGTTATAAAACATTCCCGAAATATAAATATACTTATATTTGTAATTGTGTCTTTTTATTACAAGAATTACTTAAGGATCGTCATGTATTTTATAAAAACAAAATCATAGTAATTGTGAAGATTTATTTTCAATAGTTAACAAGTTTAATTTGCTATTACAACTATTTTAACTTACGATATATCTATTTTTGTTCCAAAATATTCCATATTAAACACTACTTAAAAGTACCTGGACAAGAAAAATGTATGTTCATTTTATAAATAAGTTAATGGACCCTGGAAAATATTGTGCGGAAAAAGTATTACGTTAAAGGTGTGTTTTTTTTATTTGCAATATCCTACTTTTCTTAAAGCTTCTTCGATTTCACTGTATACCGTAGGATCCACAACTGTTGCAGAGATCTGTAATAAAAATATATATTAACAAATAAGAATTTAAAACCGTTAGAAATATTTGCACAAAAATGTGATTGTAGCAACTTACAAGTAGTAATTAAAAATTATTTTCATTTTTTCTGCAATCAATTGTTTTTAGTTATAAAGTTGACATTGATTTTTAAGCTTATACAACTTATTTACCAAGAGAGAAAATGGATATGTTTTGGTCAGAGTAAGATAAAGTTACAAGGTGTTAAAAAATGTATCACAAACTTGGAGGGGGAGTATGGCCTAACATATGGAGAAAAGTTTTAATGAACGTGGGTCAGCAAATGAAGGTTTCGGAGGTACGAAACACTTAACGTTTATATCACTTTTTTGTTATGCACAAACAATGTAATTTATGAACAAAAAAGGCAAAAAGTCCAATAGATGTTCAAAGTGCCCTCCCTCCATTTTACGGCAACATCTACACCGTAAAATCCTTCAAACTCTTTCGAAAACTGGCTTTCGATCACAATGGCTCGAATCTCGTTGCTACAGCTCCTCGAGGTTATTCACAGGCGTATGCTAAAGTTTGCAAATACCTTCAAAGAAAAAAAATCATGGGAGTATCAATTGGGTGATCTTGTAGGCTATGATACAGGTCCAACCTTCCTTAGGGGTAAGAGTAAAAGGTTAAGAAAAAAATGGGTAAATGCTACAAAGGATTAATTCTCCGTATCTTCGAAACCGTCTTTGCGAATTTGTGGATTCATGTTCATTAAGACATTTCTGCATATATTGGGTCATATGATTCCACCTTCAAGTTTGTGACATATTTTTAAAGATCCTATATATCCAAATACTTATTAGTTATTTTTAAAATTGTTTGAAATTCAGCTATGTTCGTAAGACGCTTGTGGATTTTAAAATGTCTAATCAAAATTAAAGTGTTACGTACATAGACATATTTCTAGAAATACGCCGTTTTGTTAATGATGAATTAATTGTATGTTTATTAGTTTAAAAATAAGTTCACCATTTTCAGAAAAATTTGCTATTATTTATGCAGTTATTATTAAATTTATTCTAGGATTTCACAGAAAAAATTTAAACCTTAAAGCTTTAATCGTAGAGTAAACAAATATACAATAATAAAATATTATTTTTATCTTCACTGTTATGAATAAATTTTAACTTTTTTTATATAATTGGTCGAAAAAGAATACAAGCAACTTACTTTCTTAAGCTTATTTCTGGCTAAATCCGCTAGAGATTTTCTACAAATTTTTCCAGTTCTCGTAAGGGGCAATGCTCTAACAGCTATAGCTTGTTTGAACGCAGCTACAGGTCCTATGCTTTCTCTTATCATGGCAACTAGTTCCTTGGCTATTAGAAATTCATTCAGCGCAGGGTCTAAAAAGGAACATTAATGAATACGTGGTAGCTACGTCATTAGGATTTTAATCTTTTTATTTTGTGTTTTATACAAACAGTGTGTCTCATGACAAGTTGTAGATATGGTAATGGTAGGTTGAGGGCAACCCAAGTGAATATGACATAAACTCTTAGAAAGACACTTAACAGTTACTACTGAAAGTCAACAGATTCGGGAAGTCAGAATTCCAGCCCTCCAGGAGGTTATTGGGAAAATCTCATTTGTTTGTGACTATGTAGTATAATCTATTCTGTATATTTAATATTTTATAGTATAATAAGTAGTGACTAGTAGCTAAAATAATGCAATTGATTTCTTTGTCACATTTTCCACAAGTTTTGAGTGAAAAGTGTAATTGAGATAATATCTTTTAAATAAGCTTTTCAACATTATTTTAACAAGGAGAACAGTTAGACAGTATATTCCGGTATTCCTCTTATTATTATCCATCATAAACGGTTGAAAAACTTAACGTGATATAAGTTATAGACGAAATTTAAAAACTTATTATTGTTACATCAACGAAGAATAAGGCATATAAAGTAATAAGACTTTTCCTAATTTTTTTAAAGAGAAAGAAAATCTCTTTTCAACAATTCTGGTACAGATTTCGCTGTTTGAAGGTAGCTACAGAATTAATCCTAATGATTTAATTTAACCCAGAATCTAAACCCTAATATAACTACTAAAGCCTTCATATACAGATGGTAAGATATAGGATTTTTTAGTTTTATCTAGGTATAAAATTATAGTAAGTAATATTAATACCTAATTAAAGTAAAAGCATGATTTGCACTATATGATAAGTAGGTACTGGCTTACGCTCTGAATATCCTACATGTAATGGTAAAAAAACTTGCAGGGAGAACTTCTGCGATGTGACAGATGAATAAAAATGTTCCTCCTAATATTAGTTTCAATAAGTACCACTAATATGGAACGAACAATATCATAAGTGGGCATTGAATAGCAATGACATTTAACATGCTTTTTCTGTTATATCTATCTCGCCCACACTCAAAACATGCCCGTAGATAGATATATAAATCTCACTCTCTCACCTCCAACATACTGATGAAAAGTATATGTATGTCTGGTGACAAATATTCTTAAATGGTAATTAGATATTGTGGGTGTAATACAGTGTTAGACGATGAATGTAGTCCACAGAGTAGCTGTCAATATCATCATCAGTATCTTTAGATTAGTAGGTCACTCTGTGCCAGCAATGCTTTGTGCAAGTAGACATTGATTAATTATGACATTTAAAATATGATACACTTTTGGGTATCCATTTTAGGTCATTTCACCTAATAAAACGCGTCATCAGGATATCATTCTTATATATTGTCAATTTAAAAGTATGATAAAAAAATGTCAAATGTTACATTCCATATATGGTATATGAAAAGTTATAATCATCGATCTTTTTTGAATAGTAACCAAAGATGAAAAATTTCCCAATACCGTCCTGAAAGTTTTGGAGTTCTGACTTCAAGAGTCTGTTAATCTTTAATTGTACATTGTGTATCACTAAAATACATTAATTGCGACAGATTACCCCGTAATATTCACAAATTTTGAGTTCAAAATTTTGTAAGCACTCATTTCGTATTCGCCTATGTTATACCAACTGTCACATAGTTGTTACAGTACGAGGATAATTTTTTTAGTATATATAGTAGGTACTATGTATTATGTATACCTAATACTATGTACAGTATACATTCTTTAGAAATCAGTTAAAATAAAATTGTACATTTAACGTAAAACATTTTTAATCATGTGTCATTATTTTTTTATGTGCATTTGGTTTGATTAAGATTAATTTTTAACATCGTGAGAACTAAAATTAGTCCTTCCGGATATTGATACATTGTCTTTCAGTTTTGTTTTTGGGACGGATTTTGTACCTTCAACCAAGAGGTTGATAAGAATATATGTATTAAGAAAGTGTTAAGCAAGTATCGTATTTTCAGTTTCTTTACCACTTTTTTACGTATTTACTTTTCGTCAGGAAGTCATTAAATGACAAGAGCTGTCTAACAACGCTTTTATGTGAACGCTTACACAAATGTTTGTTTCTTGTTTTAGATTATTACACTGCATAGATTTTATATTATTATATTTGCATATATTGATACATATTATTCACTGCTTTGTAAAACATCCAGTCCATCTGCTCACAAACTTTGCACAACTCTTTGGTACAGATTTTAAACGTATTTGCATCAAATCAATTCCTGTTTCATTAGTCCAGTCATTATAGACATGTTTCGGGAAAAAATACTATTAGAAGTTTCTCTGCGGAATATTGTTCTTCCCACTCGTTCGCTAGACCGAATAATAGAACGCATCGCCGCTATCTTCTTTTTTGCAATTAAATAGTTGAATTCACCTTAATGTTAATGTTGGACATGAAAATATAGCTCTTAATGTATACTCTCTCCAAATTTCGGCTCTTAATAATTAAGGACACTGCGATTAAATAAAAAAAATGTCTCAGCTTCTAATCAACTTAGAACAACGATTTTTTTTTTAAATTTGAAGAAAAATAGTACTAACTAAACTATAGACGTTAGTATTTCGTTTTATAATAATTACCTATCTTAAAAATTTAATAAATATTAACATTTTTTCAGTCATTTTTGAACAAATTAATTTTGAAAAATTAAATTCTCAGTAAATGCATATGTCAATACAACTATTTAGGTACAAAAACAACTAATGATCGAAACTCTACAATGCCTTTGAGCTTGGGAAAAATCAGTTGAAAATAGCATCTTCTTAGATAACAAATTCCGCCAACGCCAAACTAATGTAACTTTCGGGCTGAAATTTTTACCACTTATTAAGGGTGCAAAAAGCCTAAAAATCCTGAATTATAAGTGCAATATTAGCAATTGAAGAAAACGGCCATTTTCGACCATTTTTGAGCTCTTGCGCATAAACAAATTATCGGAATTTAATCGGATTTGTCTTATTTTACAGATTTATTTAATACCTACCTTTATATAAACCTTTTTTCTCTATGAATAACAGTTTTTTTACGCGAGTTAAAAAGCCACTTTTCTATAACTTTGACCATTGTTTTAACAAAGTTTCCCAACTAGTCTCCAGTTGATTTTTTGATATTTTGTTTATAACACGTTTCTGAACAATATTCCGCAAAAAAACTTCTAATAGTATTTTTTCCCCGAGAAAAAGCTATAATGACTGGCCATGTAAAATGCCAATCTCACAAATGTTTTGTCAAACTGTACACTAGCCTTGAGTACATCACTGCTAATAAGAAATTAAAAACTATGGATATAATTACTCATCTCCTCACCATTATTTATTTATTTATTTATTTACTTATTTCGTCATGGTACCGAAATAGTTTCATATCTCATTTGGGAGAGGTATAATGGTATTATATTATGCAATATTATTGGCCCTACACTCCCAAAAGACCAGAAGATTATTCAAAAACAGTATCATTCCCTCAAAACACACTCTGTAATTTGAGGTGTTAGACGTCATTTGTGGAGATCTTTCAAAGAACATTTGGAAAATCAGAAATTTACAGAATGATGGAGCTGTAACATGATTGAAAGCTGCTGCTCAAAAAGCTATTTTGTAAGGAGTATATATAAAATTTTGAGCAGAGACCAAGTGTTTTACGAAGTACTACGTCAAAAAATAAAAATAAAACCAAATAAATTCTATAAGTACCTTCATAACAACGTTACTAGACAATTCCTGTTAACTTACTGACTTTTCCCAAAATGCGGTATTTATATTTCATTCCCTTCTCTCTTATTATTTTTTTTCTAGTTCAATGCCATTTATCATCATTCCGCTACCCACCGATGTGATTATGACAATAAATTCTGTTTTATAATGCTCTGTTGTTATTTTAATGAGAAACGCAGCCGTTAGAGACGAACATAAAAAAGTAATCTTGATTTGAATCAGAGACTGCGACGCTGTTCTTAGTATCCAGTATCGAATAGAACTACAGAATATCAGTATTGGAGAAATAGGATTGCAGTAATCCAATTTACCTTCTTTTATTACAAACAGACACAATGGAACTTCGCTTTTAATTTCATCAGGTACGGAAATAACACACGCCATCGCTATGTCTGGATGGGAGAGGATGATATTTTCTATGGCTAATGTGGATAATCTGTGTCCAGCGACATTAATAACGTCATCTGCCCTGGCTGTCACGTACAACAAACCATCTTTATCCATATATCCGGCATCCATTGTGTCGTAGTAGCCCTGATGAAGAAGAAACAGATATGAAGTAATTGTATTTTTTGCAATAAAATTTTTAAATAAATTTGAATTCCCGGAATTCACTACATATGATTCCGGTTAGAGTCAAAACGCCAGTAGTAAGAATTCCAAAATTGCGGAAGAGACAGAAGGTAGGTTTGTAATCTGTTTGAATGAGGTTGTTAAAATTTTATGAATACATATTTTTAAAATTTGTAAGGTAATTGAATACAAATTTAACAAAATAAGAAAGAACATAAGGGATGTTCTTTCTTAAAAATGTCTTAAATGTAAAAGTATCAAACAAGTTAATTAGTTGCAATTAAAATTAATATTTCTTGTAATAAAACTAATAAAACAAGTGGATTTATAGACTAAAATATTTTTTAAAATAAACTTCAACTTAATAAAAATATTTCAACAATTTAAGGGACTTAAATTCGACACCATCTGCTACTGTTTTTAACATGAAAAACTGACACTCCCTATTCCCTAAATATATACTGTGATTTTAAAAATGTTACAATATTTGTCATTTTAACAAATTTTTTTAAAAGTACACATTTTATTATTAGCTCTCGCATTTATAAGAGTAAAAATCTCCATATTGATTAGTTTTGTTCCCTCAAAATTTTGGCTGGATGTACAGGGGATCCTTACAAATACAATTTTGTAAAGAAAAAATCAAAATGGGCAGTTCGAAAATGATTTAAAGATATACTTCTGCACTGGAAACTGATCCACTACCTCGCATAGTGCGACCGGCATGGCGGTGTGATAAAAACGGACAAAAACTTTCGCAAGAAAAGAAATAATTAAAATTTTATTGCACCTATTTTATATCGGCAAATTGAACTGCTTTTGTCTATTAATTAATAAAATCAATTTGTGTTTTTAAATAATAAAATCATTTGACATACCCGATGTTACAACAATTGTTCAAAATTTTATCCACCAACGTGTAAACACATTTGGGTCCGTCTTAATCAGTTTCTTCGAACTAACACAAATGTTATCTTGCTTCACCATAATACAAATGTCTTGCTTTACCATAAATTAAAACGATATCCATCAACTCCGAGTTGCTACACACGCAAACCGTTTTTGACACTAACTACTAAAAAACTATTGTAAACACCACAGATAACAGGTAAACACTATCGTAACGACGATTGCAAAATCGGATTTCAGTATTCGGAGTCGCTGAGGCCACGTGGCTCTCCACGCGTATTGCGAATGACGCTAGAGACTACAGTTGTCCAGCTATGTAGTGGTTGAATGTACTATAACTTCAATATTTTTTTTCTCGGAAACTATAAGCATTTTACAAAATTTTGTTTACGATATTAACTCCATTTCTCATGCTGCATCTATTCCCAAATTTTTTTGGATAAGTTGTGAATCACCCTGTATAAAAGTAGTTTAAAGTTCTTCTTGTTCGGACAGTAAACTTGCTTAAGTTGAAAGCTTTTCGATAGTTATGGTTTGTGGCTATTTTAAAATCTATTATATTTTGACAAAATGATCGACCTTTTTAATACTTTTAAAGACAATGTTTTGTATTTTTGTATTATGTAAAGTAGTACTTATCTCTACTGTTACGAAAATCAACCTGACAGTGAATGTAGATGGCGTATTTTCATTGAGATATAGCTTTTGAAATCTTTGACTGCTACATCTTTCATATATTTCAGAAAGATTCCATATTTGTATTTCCTGTTAGTTAATTTCATTTTAGAAAATGTAATTTTAATTTTAATTTTAATACCTATTTTAGAATTTGTTAGATTAGGAAAATATATCTGATGCTTTCTGAAATACATGTGATAGTTCTTGAAAATTGCAAATTCTAAAATAGTTTTTTGATATCATATTGAGAATTTTGATAATTAATACTCTCTGAGGAAACATTGACTAATCTGATATATAAATAACTCTTTTGAAATAAAATTTACTAACATGAAACCCAAATGACGCATTCTGAAACTAAATTGGCAGATTTAAAATATACTTAGCAAAATTTAAACACCTAGTATGAAATGTATTAATTTGCTGGTATACCATAATTTAGCGTTACCTATGCCCTTCATAGGTACCAAAATTCCGCTTGATATCATGCTCCTGAAAAGAGTTACTATAGCATTTCCGCCATCCCTTGCATCTGTCAAATTTTCTTTAAAAAATTAATATGTCAAAATCTATATCTCCTAGCTATAGGGAAAAGTGACCCTCTTTAACCTAGAATAGAATGCAATAATATATAGTGTCCCATTTAAAATAACGAAGTTGGAGTCGACTATCGGTATAACCGGAAGTGCAGGAGAGTTCTAGATATTTTAGTTGTGTTCGCCCTAGGGACATTGCCATGTTCCCAAATTTTCAAATTTTTCGGAGTAGTACTCCCACTCCTACATAAAGATCGACGCAGTTCCCGGTGGGACACCATATGATATCGTTTCAAAATAAAATGAAAATGACCACAATATGTTTGTTTTTTCTCCAAACCGCTGCAGATGCTCTATAATTTTATATATTTTATATTTATTTTATATTTGAAAAAGTATTAATCAACAATAATTTTAATAAGAATGTAACTAATACCATTGTATAAGTATTTACTTATACAATGCTAATACTTACGGGATACTTGGTGAAATAAGTCTTCACAAATTTATCATTCGCTTTGTATAAGGTAGATAAAGGTCCAGGAGGAAGAGGTAGTTTAATTGCTATTCTCCCGAGTTCATGGGCATCGGCTATGCTCCCATCTTTGCGTAAAATTTTCACTGTGAAACAATAATATATATGAACATATAGAAAAATATTAACTTGAATTAAAGAAACAGTTATTTGCGTAATTAAGTATACCTACATAGGTCACGGCAGAACAATCCGAAAAATGATCTTACTCAAACTTTAAATCCGCCATTTATGGCTATTTTCTAAAACCTTAATGCCTTCAAAAACAGTTTTACGAATGTCAGATTTAATGTTAAGAAAAGAATTATTCATATTTTTACCTGGAGTCAGTAGAATTCAAAATTGTAACTAAAAATATGGCATTTAATTTACAATAGCAACATTGACTTTGACTTCTTATATGACGAGAAATACCAAAAGCTTGTACATAGTTTGTCCGAGTGAGATTGCATTTTTATTGTTAGTTCTTATATTTTTACTTGGACATTTAACATAAACAATACGCGAATAAATATATATTTAACTTGTATCGGTTTCATATCTTCAAAAGAAATTTAAAATATTGAATCCTCAACAGAAACAGGCTCAACCTATACCTACCTATAAATATTCTATTTTAATATAGTTTCATTTAAACTAACTTTTTGCATAATATTTCAAATTTCATAACAAAATTAAATAAAAGAAACTCAAATATGTTTAATGGATTATACATTATCTTAAATATTTTAACTATATCCAAAATGTAAAATGTATTAGAATTTCTCTCCGAAAAACGTATTAATTTCAGGACACGTTTGTAGTAACATGTGCGGTCCTTCATAATTCCAGGATAATTACTGATTACCCGATTAATACATTTCCAAATTCGTGGCTTAGTAATAATGAGGAATCGATTATGTGGTCTGTCCAGCGATTGAAATTGAATTTGCATTTGGCTCTACTACTATTACAACGTGTATCTCTTAGCTTAGGTTGCTTAATTCCCAAAACATATTTTTTTTCTTTTGAATTGCATCCCTAGGCAATAAATCTACTTAGGTAGTACGTATTTTTTTTTAGAAGCATCACATTTTTATTTAATTAAATTAAAAAACCTGTTTTAAAAAATTTGATTTGATTGAACATTCACAAAGTTATCCTAATTGTTTATAACTACAAAAATTCGATCAATGTTTAAACAAGCACCAGAGCTCTCGTAATTGACGAATTCGAATTTTTCAAAAAGCGTTTGAAAGCTTGATAGCCCTTCTATATGTGATTAAATTTTCAAGTATCTAAGGGCCTTGGTTTTTGCTGTGCAAAATTTTGAAAATTTGCAATTTTTTTTCAAAATCTGGATTGCAAAATTATTATGCAAAATCTATCGAACCGATTTTGATGAAATTTGGTGTGATGATTCTACATAACATGAACTTTTCTTGTGCCAAGTATGAAGGTCCTATATCCAACTTAAGACCCCAATGAAAATCCCTAAAAAGTAATGTTTTTTAACCCCATTTTTGTCGATTTTTTCCATCTGTACAATAATAATCATGATTCATTCGATTTGTAACTAGTCATACTTTGTAAAATTTAATTACAAAAATTTTTTTCCTCTTCCATTTTCGCCTAAAATCAACTCTTGAAAAGACACATAATTAAATAGGAAGAAAAATATGATATTTTTCGAATTTTTTTAACATATTGTGCCGCCAAAAGTTAAGCCTACGTTTTTTTATGCGAATAGAAAAATTTTCATTTCTAGTGATATTTTAAAGCCAAAAAGCCAAAAATCTCCGTGGATATACGATTCACCCAAAGTGGACTCTTTGAAACAGATACCGTCTGGACTACATAGCCAAGACACAAATATTCGATTCTGCGATTCTCCATACGATAAACTGAGATAAAATTCCAAGAAGACCTTTGCGTCACTTTCTCGGAATTAACCGCATTCGACACTCGAGGTAGGAAGACATTGGCGGAAAATATCAAGGCACACCCCTGCCGCAGTAAATGTATATTATGTGTTACCTACCATTATATCCTGGAAATGGTAGACCAGTGGTCAAATCTGTGTCAATAGTAGAGTTCTTCAGTCCAATACACGTCCCCGATATAACCGATCCAACTTCAGTTTGCCACCAATGGTTTATAATTGGCACTCCAAAATGTTGTTCAGTCCATACTTTTGTATTCAAATCTAGATGTTCTCCGGCCAACCATATTTGTCTCAAGCTGGACAAATCGTATTCGGTGCCATATTTTCCTTCTGGGTCGGCCTGTTTCAAGACTCTCATAACAGTAGGTATGGTGAATATTGAATTAACGCCATAGTCGCTAATAATCCTGTAACAGAAATTTAAAGAAAATTAAATATTTAACATCGAATATGCAGTTCGTAAGAAAAAATATATCAAATAATATACAGGGAGTCCAGAGTTGTACACGTTAAACTTGTTAACAGAGTTCCTCGAAATAAGAAAGAACGTTGGATAATTTATTACCACACTTTCGTCTATCTACACTAAACATCTTCAGCGATATTTGAATAAAGACGAGTTTATTGAGATGAAATAAAATTATTGATAGAAATTTAGAAATTTAAATTAAAACTTTACTTGACTAAGACAATGTGAAGAGAGAAGGTTGAAATAATTATTGTAAAACTTAAAAAAACATTGAGTAAAAAGAAAAATTGTTAGTATTAAATAGAGTATGTTGAAATATTATCAGAGAGTCGTATTATTAGAGCAGAATATAAATTTCAAAGATTTAAGAATAGAGAACATTATCATTTTGGTCAAATAGCGTACCTGCCAAGATATTATCGGAAAAACAGAATACATACATAATCAAAATTAATTAGTAACAGCAAGTGACTTACCTATAGCAAAAGAAAGCTAAAATATCATAGTTTTATTTAATAGTAGTATTATGAGTAAGTAAAATAGGTATAAAGAAATAATGTCCAAAGTAAAATTTTATATAGCAATAGGATATATGTCAGTGAAATGTCAAAAATAAAGTTGGATTCACAAGTCAGAAAATATTACATATGAAATTCAAATAAAAATATAGATTTAAGGAATATTTTGAAATATAAGTAAAAATTTTTGTAAATAAACTGGAATGGGATTGTAAAATTGTAAATTATAAAAGTGAAGTGAAGTGAATTGGAAAAAGAAAACGGAATTTAAAAGAACAGGCATATATGTGAAAAGACCTTAACAAGGGATTAAAAAATCAAGAGAGTCGGATAAATAAAAAATAGAAGATTTATTGACTAGTTACGAAAGATTTGTCAGAGAGAAGTAGTTGAAAAGAAATAGTGGGAAAAACCCATATAAATAGTAATAATTACAGTGAAAAATAGTAAGACAATCAAAATTAGTATTCTAGTACAAAGAAAAATCAAAGTTGGGCCAAAAGGATTCAAAAGTACAATCTTTTCAAAGGACTCCAAGAAGATATCCAGGATAGACCAGAATATTCAAGTTATTGTTGACAAAAAAAATAAATAAATAATAAATAAATTAAATTTTTGAATACTATCTTTTGATTAGTGTGGTGTATTGTTTGGTTTTCTATAAAGTTTTAACCTCACTAGAACTCACTACTGGGAAGAGTCTAAAGCTGACCAGGATTGACAACAAGTAAATCACAGCATACCAATACAACAGCATACACATATACACAGTAAGATCATAGTATATTAATTATACAAACAAATCACACACAAATACTATAATCATAACAATATTTTTTCATACTTGAACAAGCATTAGATATTTCCCGACATATGTTTGTGGCAACTTTTCATATTTTGAAGGATTCTGTTATCACGTAAAGCTTGGTGTGCAAATCAGTACCCCACTGTATGGGAATTATTTCAAATACCACCCCTTTGGGTATCAATTAAAAATATACGTATATAGGCTGTGCCATTAAACATTTCTACTGGTGTTTCCTTAGAAACTAAAAGACTTTTTTTAAGTTAATACTGGCCATAGGCGGAAAAGGGTAAAAAGTTTAATTTGATTAAAATACTATTTTGTTTTCATACAGATAATGTCGTACAAAGAAAATACTGGGAATAAAAGAAGAAGAAAATAATAAACATTTCTGACAAATCGTTGATTTTGCAAAGAGAATAGGGAAAAATTGCTCAAATTTAATTGCCTATAATATCCATTCCAAGCTTTTTGTTTTCGATATCGAAAAACATATGAAGGAAACATATAAGATGTCCCAAAAGTAAGGCAGTATTTGAATTGTGCGGCGCCAATTTCATTCCGAAGAGGTAGTGAATTAAACAACTGTGAAAAGATTAGTTACCAAATTTGAACAAATGAGTTCGGTTTCAGACAATAAAAAAATAGGCCTGCTTCGTACTGGCCGTTCTGCCGAAAATATTGCTATGGTGAGTGATAGCATTGTATAAGTAAATACTTATAGTCCAGGAGAATTACACATTGACATGGCTGTTGCGTGACGTAATTTGAATATTAATAAAAATCGGTCGAAAATAATATATACAATGAAAATATAAGGTTGTGCCAAGAAAAAAAGTTGTGCAATTTGCAGAAAAAATTAAAAACTGCAAAAATACTCAAAAATGACGTGTTTTTTCTAACATTTTCCAACATAACTTCTTAAATATGCAGTTTACAGAAAAAACTATTACTACTAACTAACTATTACTGATGAAATTGTTTGTTATGAAATTTACTACAAGATAGAATTGTTTTGATACCTGCGCATATCATATTTTTGTTGCTAAATAGCCAAAACAACGTAAGAAAGTGATGAAAATCGAGGTAATTTGGAAGCGTCAAAGTGACAGGCAAAAAATTGTCCAATTCTACTATAAATGTAGATATAAGTACTTTAAACGATTATAAAACGAAATTCCAAAACCCGATCCAAATCGGTCTGATACTATGGGCATGAGACAATTTGTTACTAAATTTCAGCGCGAAATGTCGTTATTTTTTTTACGTTAGTGCTGGGGTTAAAGTTAGGCATTTTAATCTGCGCTGATTTTTTTACACTTACTTGAACCCCTTAACAATCATATAGAATCGTTAGAATATCAATTTTCTTTTTTTGAATAATTTTTGGAGCGAATTTAAAAGTTAGAAAAATTTTGACTTTATAAACAATTACTTTCGTGAAGCGGTTTTGCGGGTTAGAAAATATACCAAAGTACTAAAAAACAGTTCTCGGAAAGACGCTTAACTTGAAAAAAGAACGTTCAAATAGGTCGTATAAGTTCCGAGATATCGAGTGTCAAAGTCAACAAGCGTTAGCTGCAAAACTATGCATAATGTAACAACAAAATATGAATTTGGTAGGTTTTTTAAGAACTTTTCGTATGTGCTTTTATAAATATTATCACACGTGTGCCTTTTTTATGAAAATTCAGTGAATATCGCCAAGCCGACCATTTGAGCCGCAAAACCGGGGGTAGGGGAAGAATGACAGAAATTGAAATTGGGCGTTCAAAAAGAGCGGGTCCTCTTCGGCATTCAATATCTCGGCTTCTACGGCTCCGATTTTTTTGATTTTTTTTAAATCAGTATATCATAATGAGAGGAATTCAATTATCAAGATTTCATTAAAATATTATAAAGCCCTATCAGACTATTACGACTACTTAAAATTTCACACATTTCATTGCTGCTGTATATTCATGTAAATAATAATATCGATGGTAGCTATACATAGTCCATTGTTAATAGTTATTCGTTTTAATAATTCGTAATAATGTTTAAAACCTTGAAATTTTTATTTAATATGTAATTTATTTGATATTTATAAAACGTATCATCGCATTATTAAAGTATTCCGCTTTTTACAGCATAGTTGCTGTTTTTGCTCTCAAAATTTTCTTACGGTAATACGGTAACGGCCCATTAGAATATTTCGGAGACTACCTCGATTTGAATTTTGAAAATTTGGGACCTGGTGATTTTGGAGGTATTATTTAAAAAGAGTTTAAATAAAATAATGCCATTGTTGTAGTACTTCCGGTTATACCGGTAGTCGCCACCTATTTGTTGTAAACAAATCTGTTGTAAAAATTTACTCTATCTATCCATATTACATCTCCATATACCTATCTTTTAATTTTTCTGTTTTTACGGTTTTTGTGATAAATAAAATGATCCAATTTCTTCCGAGGATGGCTATGAAATTGCTAGCAAATTTAAAAAATCTAATTAACCAACCATAACCAACCATAAGTCATTATTTGCTGTTAATCTGACAATGGTAGGTACTTAATTACAATTAGTTAAACACTGATTTGAAAATAATGGAAAGCGGTACTTATTCAAAGGCTGATATTATAACTGAAAACAGCAATAATGTAAAAAAGTGAAAAACTTTGATAATACGATGATTATGAAAATATAATAAACACGTTTTATAAACATAAATAAATAATTATTTGTATCTATATCTTTTTCTATTTCTATGCATACAATAAATAAATTACATATTAAATAAAAATTTCGAGATTTTATTTAAACATTATTACCACGTAATTATTAAAACTAATACCTATTAATAGTGGATTATGTACCTATATCCTACCATCGATATTATTATTTACATGAATATAGGTACAGTATACCAACGAAATATGAGAAATTTTAAGTAGTCGTAATAGACAGAAAAGAGCTTTATAATATTTTAATGAAATCTTGATAATTGAATTCCTCTCATTTTGCTTTATCGATTAAAAAAAAATCATCAAAATCGGAGTCATAGAAGCCGAGATATTGAACGCCCAAGTGCGCGCGCTTTTTTTTGAACGCGCGATTCCAATTTCTATAATTCTTCCTCTCGCCTCGGTTTTGCGGCACAAATGGTCGACTTGGCGATATTCATTGAATTTTCATAAAAAAAAGCAAACGTGCGACCATATTTATAAAAACACATACGGAAAGTTCTTGAAAAAACCTACCAAATTCAATTTTAATTGTTGTTACATTATGCATAGTTTTGCAGCAAGCGCTTGTTGACTTTGACACTCTATATCTCGGAACTTATAGGACCGATTTGAACGTTCTTTTTTTCAAGTTAAACGTCTTTCCGAGAACTGTTTTTTAGTACTTTGGTATATTTTCCAACCCGCAAAACCGCTTCACGAAAGTAATTGTTTATAAAGTCAAAATTTTTCTAACTTTTAAATTCGCTCCAAAAATTATTCAAAAAAAGAAAATTGATATTCTAACGATTCTATATGATTGTTAAGGGGTCAAAGTATGTGTAAAAAAATAAGCGCCAATTAAAATGCCTAACTTTAACCCAAGCACTCACGTAAAAAAATAACGACATTT